TTTTTTTTTCCTATTCGTTCCTGCTTATAATAATCTCTTTGCTTTATATTTAGACGAAGGAGAAGGGAAAAAGGAGAAAAATGAGTGTAACTCTATTGTAAAATTATCTGCTGCCTGACTGGGCGTATATGCGTGTTCGCGCCCTCGCACATCTCATCGCTGGCCGGCATTTTTTTCTCTTTTTCTCTCCTTCGTTGTCGTCAAGACTCTTCTCTCTCCCTCTCTATCTGTCTGTACTGCACAGCAGCAAACAGACTTTCAACTACTGTCATTATCATTATCGACGACAACGACTCATAGAGCTATAACTAACACAACAATTTTTTTTTTCGCCTTAGCGATTTCTTTTTTATCTTACATTATTTATCACAAGAATTTATTCAAATGTTTCTACTATCAACTATTAGTAAGTTCAAATCAATTTGTCGTTTTTTTTTTTGTCACTTTCAAACAAATCAATCGGTCAATAATATTGTTGACCTTGACATAGAACACGAGTAAAACGATAGATGTCTCACACATAATCATATTGTATCCTTGATGGTCAATTTGTTGTATATATGTCGTGATATCTCTCTCTCTATCTATCAATGTATATATATATATTCAAAAGAAGATAGAAGACTATATCTCAGTTGTGCATATACAATCAATTAGCATTCTTGTCTTTGTTGTCATCCTACGACATACAAAGAGCATCACCAGGTGATGAACTTTTCCTTCATACTAGGAATATAAGTCCTTATTATTCTTCTTTTTCGCATTGTTTATTATTTGATTGCTCAATTTGCTTTGTACAGATAATAAACGGAGGCAATAGTTATGTTAATATTAACAACAAGTGATAAGATAAAAAAAAAAAGATATGAACATTAACAGATTATATAAACAATCAAAAAAAGAAAGTTTTTATTACAAGATAGATGAACTACAATTAATAGAAACGAAAGAAAAAAAAAAGAAAACTTCAAGATTAATTTACAAGTTTAATTCGTTTTTTTTTCTAGACTGGCCTATTGCTGTAGTTGTATGTGTATCAATTGGTCTTGCTGGTGTACTTGTACTTTATCTTATTGTACGTATTCGTTCAAATCATCGACAACATAATCCCAATACAAATATTGGTGATGATATACATTCACAAATGGAATGGGAAGATGATATTGGACTTAATATTATTGTTAATCCATTAGATGAAACTAAAGTTAGTTGATTTTGATATTTTCTTTGTATTATTTAATACTGCGATTTTTTTTTTTGGTATATAGAAGCCTGTTCAATCAATAAATATGCAAAATATAGAACAAACAATGAATCAATATCCAGATGAAAGTTCGGACGATGAAGGTGTAGAATATGAAAATGATAATAATAATCATCATGAATATTCATCTGAAGATGATGATGATTATGAAAATAAACGAATACGTTCAAACAAACATAAGCATCAATTAGAATGGGATGATGCAGCTATTGAATATGGACCAAAAAAAGTTTGACAAAAACAAAAAAAAAATTTCTAATAACCAAAAGTTAAATTTTCATAATAAAACTAATCCAAAAAAAAACTTTAATGTTGTATGTGTGCATGTATCGTCTGTTTCTTTGGTTTTATTGTTGTGTATGTTTCGTATATTCTGTTGTTTTATACAGAATTGGTATCAGGATGAACAAAAAAAAAAAAACGAATGTAATTCGCACGAGGAGCTAAAAAAACAAGAGATGCGTGTCATTTTATTGCTGACTACCGGTTTTTTTTGTCGTTTGTGTGTGTGTGTCTTTTTGTCTCAATTCATTGAGCAGTATTTTTTTTCTCAAATGTACAGAGTTTATATTAGGTGTTGTTTTTTCATTTCCTGTCTTCATTTTTTTTTTGACAATACTATTTTTTTTGTCTTTGGTCTTTTATATGTTTATTTATTCCAGTTATTCACGGCAACGGAATTGGGTCCATAGTTAGAATTGATTAAGCAATAAATAAAGATATTGCCAAAACTTTTTATTCGAAGATTATTCATTCAATAGAATTTTAATATTTTTATAAAAAAAAGAAAAAGAAAGAAAGTTCGATTAAAAGACATATGATGATGATGATGATGATTGATATACATGCTATTTATTTAATAATTATTTTGATAAAAAGTAAAGTATTATGGATGTTGTCATTAACTAGTAGATGGTCATTACATTCAGCCTTGAAAAACAATATAGATTCTTGCCTGATCGATTTAAGATATAATATCACATTTCAGACAACTATGCGCTTGTCTCATTCGTGTGCTTATAAGTCATTATTCAAGGACTAGATGTTTATCAATAAAAATAAGTATGTAGTTATTGTAATGTTAGATAGATTGTAAATATTTACGAATATCTTCGGGTATCTGTGAAAATGGTTTTGCATTCTTACAGAAATTTGATTTTCTATTATCAACAAAAAAATAGAAAATAAGAACTGACTAAAAATAAAAATACGTATTTTTAAAATTTGTTCTATTAATTTTCATTGTACATAGTTTGAATTTCTATAGGATTTCTTTAATCCTTTCATAAATAATTATCAAAACGACACTAAGAACATTATGTATTTCAAATTAAAAAGAAACTGATCTCTTTAGTTTATGTATTCATATATCTATCAATTGACTTTCAGTGTTCTATTGTTTGATGACATTTCATGATGCTTTAAAATTTTTTTTTCTTACAATATAATTGGAACATGCAAAAATTGCAAGAAAGAAGAAATGCTCACAGGTTTTTTGACTAAATTGCTCTATATTTTCTGAATGACAACTAACATTAATTGATTCTTAGAAAGAGTGTATACTTTAACATATATGGTTTTCTTTTAGACGATTCTTGAAAATTATTGGGTTTGTTCAATTCAAATAGTACTGTTTACGGCTCAAGAATAATCTGTAATCATAAATAGACTATATATATATTGATTATTTATAGCATGCTACAATTAGTACAGATCTATCATTTGAGTATCTGCAAACGGATCACAACCCTGTCGTAACGTATCTGGAATACATCATAAAACTAGCGTCTTACAGACCACATCTATGTTGATCAAACAAACGTATTCATTGATTCATTTTCAACCTATGGGATTGTAGAATACTTTGCGGTTTCGAATTCATCGATTCGCATTCTGTACACATTCTGATTTGAACTTGAAGTAATATGATTGAGACTATTTGAAAAATCAAATGTATCTTCGTTGACTCAATAATCAAATTAGCATTAAATACGATGAAGTTGAGTAAATAGATTTTTCAATATTGGCATATCATTGGATTGTCTAGTGCTCAATCAATCCTTAATATATCAACACTCGATGTGTAGCGATGGATTTTATATACTTTTATAGAAAACGTTATAATTATGAAATAAATACAATACAAATTTAATTTTTGTGATACGGCTTAGAATAATTCGTCAATGTTCCATAATTTATACGTAACTGTTGTGATAATGAATGTCTGTAAACGAAAATCAACAGATCACTTTAAGGATCCGATGTTTTTGTTTCTGTTTATCACTGCTCAGAGATCTTTCTATTAGATTTGAATAAGACAAAAGTAAAGTGTTTGTTTCTTGAATATATGTCAATCTAAACAATCTCTCCTTGTTTTAATAGAAGTAGATTTTACAAAGATAAAGAAAAAAATAATAATAATAATTGTTTTACAGTTTCCTTCCTTTTATCGACAATCATACCAATGATCATGTTGATAATGAAACCATTGATATATTACAATATATGTTCTTATCGTGTAATCTATTTGAGTGGATCACAGCTTGATAACAACGACCATGTTACATATGAAAATCAAAGAAGCTCTTACAATGTTGAACAAGGTTTTTTAGAAGATTAATCTTACACATATGACTTGATAAGTAAATGTTCATTGACGATAAGAATGATAAAGATCTCCTACAAAAAAAAATCATTTGTCATACGATAGTCGTTTGTACATTGATAAAAAAAACTGACAAGATCATATCAATGAAATACAATAAGCTATACATAAAAATAATTTGTTATCAGAAAGTTTTCTTGTAATAATATTTTTCTTCTTTTTCTTTTTTTTTATAGAATCCGATTTGTAAATACTGACCTTCAAAAAACTGAATAACAGTTGACACAAATGTTATTTGAGAAGGCGACAAATGAATATTTCAATATGATTTACATACTATTTAATCAAAATTCAAGGTTTTAATTGCAAAGATAATATGACTTGTTTCTATTTCAGTATTTAAGCAGTGATAAATTATTAAGATAATCAAAAACACAATATACAAAAAATGTCAGTATCCTTCAAATTTCAGTCAAAAATGTCTAAGATATCGTCATATTTTGAGAAAAAAAGGACACTATATCACTGATTGAATTTGTATATTGTCATGAACAGTTTATCGAATTGAGATTCTTAGCACACCTGTTAACTATTATATAATATTTTTTTTTGCATCTAACTCATCCCAAATTAGCACATATTCTTGTTTCTACGATGTTTTACTTTCAAAATAAACAGCTCATTTATCATAATTTATTTCCTTACATATAATAGATCTATAATCTTCACTCTTATACGGCACAAATTTACTTGATACCATTCGTAAATCTATTGAGTAGATTAAAAACAAAAGAACATAAATATTGCATGTTCGAACAGTATATATATAAGCAGTATTTAATATATATATTATATAAACATAAATTGTACTGTGCTTCGTTTTATCATTTTCCTTATATACATTGCATGCTATGTCAGAATATTTATCACGTACTGAATATAGTCCAGCATGTGTAATTTATATATATATATATATAAATTACGAATATAGAAAAGTGCTTCATGAAAATGAATGTTCAACATGTTCATGTAGGAAGTACAGAAAGAAATGAAACAGTATTTGTAGAGATGGACAAACATCATTCGAAGGTTATTCTCTTTTTTTTTGTCGAGGTTCTAATCATCGCAATTGTTCATTAACACAATGTTATATCATGGCATTCGATGATGCTTATGTTGTATGGTGTCCTCGTTATCGACAAATACAATCATAGATGAAAGCGTATATATATATATAATCTATCAGCAAATAGTACACATGGTTTTTATTATCAAATTAAATAGATATTTTTTTGTTAAATGTCAAGAATTTATTCAGTGTTCTAACAAGCAAACTTGTGTTATAGTAAATCTTTGTTATATCTTTTTTTCATAAGAACATATCTGATTTTATGAAATAATAATTCATATGATTTATATTATGTATATAAGAAAACAAAGCAAAATTTTTTAATAGCTGATAGAATACAACACATATAATCATGATCAAAATTGTGAAGTGTGATAAAATTAATAAAATGAAAGAGAAATTTGAATATTGATGTTGCCATCTACAGTTAGTCAGCTCTATCATTATCTGAATAGAAAACTAATTAAACTGAAATTAAATTTAACAAATAAGATACTTTTAGATCCGTCTTATAACGAGTCTAGAGAATATAGCTGCATAAAATTTGCATTGTTGAAGATTCGAGCAGTCGAGAATATTATTAAATGAGTTTCCAATTAAAAATAAAATTGCACTGATGATTGTTGAGATTCAAATGTAAAAATGATTATTTATTTCTCTTTTGTATTTACAGTTAAAAAAAATAGAAAATCATGGTTATTCATATCAAAATGAAAACTTTCAGTAACGATCAATGCCATAAAACAACAAAATATCTCTCATCTAGTTTTTACCATTATCTCATTCTTTGTAATACGTATAGATGTACCTTTTACTCTTGAACATATACATGATTTTCGTAAAATAGATTTAAAGTCTAACAAAATGTAACATATCCATATAAATCACACAGACACAATATTTGACACCTACGATGT